CTGATGATGCTAGCAAACTGCCCGAAGAAAAAACCTGCAATAAAAGAGGACGAGAAGAGAGGAAAGCATCAGAACCCTGCTACCCCCCGCCACGCACAAAGCCAGCAGCACACACTGACCAACAGAAAGGAGAAAAAACCAATAGACTAGAGATCAAGCAGGATAGTGAGCAGAAAGGAACTACTGCAGGCACTGCACCCCATGACCAGGAATATGGGGAACTGTGCAGGAATCGCCACGGAGGTGAGCAAAGGGCTCTGGGCACCACTGGAGGAAGATAAGGACTCTGTGGAGAGACCTGCAAATGTCCAAGGCCAGTTGGTAAGCTTGTGCAGAAAAGCATGGGCGCACTTGAAAAGCACACGCTGATTGTGGCTGCCCAGGTCTCCATGCCTGCACCTAGAATTGTGGGGAAAAGCTTGGGAGCCATCACTAAAGTGAATGACCCTCACTGGGTAATCAAAAACCGGGCACAAGGGAGCGGGGTGCAAAAGGCACCACATCTGCAGGCACTGAACTGGGCTAACCGCTCGCATCCTAGATCTGAGGGCTTCGGAACTGAGAATTGGGGCACAAAATTTGGGAAGTGGAATTCCCATGATGGCGGGGCACAGGGCGGATGCAGCACCCCCACGCCATTGAGGCACTCCACGTCACCTCCCACTCCGTGCCACCCCCATCTGTTCCTGGGAGACCTATAGGGAAAAAGCAGTTCCAGAAGAATACTAGGAAAGGTCTCCAGTGCCACTTAGTGATCAGCACAAAATCACCAGATACCTGATAGTTGGAAGCCAGGGATTCTAAAACCATCCTCAGGCTCTGAGGGGGGTGGGTCACACAAACGGGGGTGAGAAGGGAAACAAGGCATGGAGCAGGACTACTGAGGTCCCATGTGACAACCCACATTCTAGAACTGAGAGCTAGGCATGGGATCTGTGGCGTGGGACACGCTGTAACAGTGGCCACTGCACAGGGTGACAGCCAGTGTTTTGGATCTGACAGCCGTGGAACTGAGAACTAGGTACAGAATTCAAGGTGTGGGATCCTCATAGCTGAGGGCACAGCACCCAATGTGAGCAATAGACCCTGTGTGTTGAGGTGCTCCCCTCCCAACCTGTTTCCTAGAGAACTACTGGGAAAAAGCACAGGTCGGAAAGTACAGGTCTCTGGCACCACCTAGTGACAGGAATAAAATCACCAACTAGCTGAGAGTTGGAAGGCAAAGACTTCAAAACTCCCTTTTGGAACTGAGTAAATACAGAGGGAGAGACAGTGCCCAGCAACACAGCCACAGCATCAACACCCTGGTGGAGTTTTGGCCCGACAGTACTGGACTCGGTCTGGTAAACAGTTTCTGACACCCCTGAAGGAGCACCCCAAAGAGATGGCCACGAACAATAGTGGCATAATGTCCCAACACATAGAACCAATTAGAAAGCAAACAGCAGGGAGAAGGAAAAATATAAATAACCAAGCAAGCCTGCAGGGGAAGGACACACTACAAAAAAGATCAGTCACCAGAATGCAATGACAGGGAAGAACTTCTCTGCCTACCAGATAAAGAATTTAGAAGCCTCATGATTAAAAAGTATAAAGAACACAAAAAAGGAAAAAAAAATGATTTGAGACAAGTACTCAATGGACTGAAGAATGAAAATGAGACCTTAAGAAAGGAAATAAAAGAAAGGTGGGAGATTAATAAAAGATTACCGGAGAAGATAAAGAACTCTGGGAAAACCAAATAATCTTTTCTTCAAGACTTTTAAATACTAATTGTTTTTCTCTAACAAGTAATGTTTTCCTCTTATTTTTTTTACCAAATTCCTGTCATGTTTTATCAGGGTTCATTCTGATTTTTTCCTAAAGTACTTAAATCTGACCAGTGTTAATCATTTCTAAAAAGTTTGTACAACATGATGTACAATAACAATAACGTTATTGTTCACACTACTCTATCGTATAGGTTATATATAGGTCTTCTTCACTTATAAAATGCATGGAGTAAATTCAATGTAGAAGCTGAGAGTAAACACACAGTCTATCTCTTCCCCCCTCCTCTCATATCACTCTCCCCATTGGTAAAGAGTTGGGCTCATTGGGCCTCCCTGGTGGCACAAGGGATTAAGAGGCAACCTACGAAGCTATCTGCAGCACGAGTTCCATCCCTGGCCAGGGAGCTACCCACATGTCACAGCAGACCTCTCCTGTCTCGCCCGCTGCTCCCCTCAGCAGTGTATTTCAGTCAATTGCCTGTTCTGTTCCCCACTCTGTCTCTGGTGAATCCTCTCAGTCCCCCACACCTCTGGCTTGTACCCCAGTCCTTGCATGCCTAAATAAATAAATCTTTAAAAAAAAAAAATTGGGCTCAAGAGCCAGTCTGGATGGCTGAATCCAAAATTTGTCATTTATATAAATGTTACCTAATGTTGATGCTGAAATCTCTGCTTTCTAAAAATGAACTTTTTGGGCAATACAAATCTATACATAATTATATAGACACTGCTTTGATACACAAATATTTTTATTATTATATTCATACATGCATTTTTTGGGCAATAAAATTGAAGTTATGAAAAGATAATACTTGGGAAGCTAAAAAATAATAGGAGAAGGTATTAACATGATTTTCTGATTTTCAGCTTTAGTTTCTTATGTAACTCAGTTCTATGCTATTCAGATTAATTAAACACTGGTGTCTTATCAAAACACTTCAGGAAACTGTCCATTTTATGTAGGAATAATGGCTTTTTAACAATAATTGATTAGGAGACATTAGGAACCTTGCCTCAAAAGCCATAGCCAAATTTATCTAGAAGATTTTATGCTACATCATAAAACAGCAACAGAAGACATTCTAAATTGCTTAGTATGCTAGTTTGCCTCAGACACTTGCCATATAAGTTGCTTTCAAGAGCTGACAATGAATATCATAGTTAAGGTTAAAAAGTTGAAGAATATTGGTGATTCAATGGAGATGATGCAGGAGATCCCCAAAAAGTTCAAACAAACTTTCATTTTACATTGAAACAAATTTTCTATTTCCAAGGAAAGTTTAACTTTTAGTTTCTCTACAACCCCTAGCTAGAAATCAGGATCCTGACTGGTGGCTTTTCCTAACATTGCCAATATATTAATTCAAACTTGAAGTCAATCCCCACTTCTTTTCTCCTAAAGCATCTATAATAATAAATTCACCTGAACAAACACCTAAGTTAGAGGTTTAGGTTAACATTTCTTTAAATTATGGAATTAAATCTGGTTGTCTCAGTCTCCCCTTTTATTGGTTAAGAATAATAGAAACTCCAAATATATTAGAAAAAGTTCTGTAAGTCTGGGTCTTTTTACAATGTGGAAATCAAGAGGAAAACTAAAGATAACCATGCATTGTGCTGGTCCTGTTTGGTCTAAATCTTCGGAATATTAAATACAAAATAGTAATATTCACTGATGAGATCAATTACAGCATATCTGAAGACACAGTAAGATACTCAATAACAACTATTATAACTCCTGTTCTGAAGCTAACTACTTTCATTTTATTGTCACAGTTTACATTTCCTCTGCTAACCTAAAACCAACAAAAATCATAAAACTAAGTAAGAGGAAGGGCCCAATATGATCTAGCCCATTCCTCTTACTTTATAAAATACTGGCCTTAAAGTTCCATGAGTGATTATAACTTTATTCTGATTTTATCTGCCTTCCCCATTCTCCTAAGAATTAAGAGGACTGCTTGCCATTACCAAGAGCACTGCTAAGAGAAACTATTGGTAATTCCTCTCATAAGAAAACTCTCAAAGAAATGTCATGGATGTACATTTGCTTTAGGACCCAGGCTTGCAAAATGCAGATTCCTGGGTCAGCTCAAGACCTATTCAACCAGAATTTCTGCTGTAAGGACCAAGAACCTGCATTTTTGTGATAAGCAATACTGTCTTGAAATGAAATTCAAATTCTTTAAGCTGAAGACTTTTCATCCATTTTCAAAAAACTGGGAAACAATGAGTTTCTCAACACTGCTTTCTTAAAAATTATAAATCTTTCTGTCGCTACAATTGCAAACTAACCACGCTGTAACTTCCTTCTTTGGTATCCCCTCCCACCCCTCACCTTTTTGACACCTATGCACTATTTCTTTCCAAACTTTCAACTTTTCAGTGAATAGCAAGACAGTGACTGTTTATAAATCAAGCAGCAATGGCAATATGGGAGATTAGTTCATGAAATTGTATTTTTTTCCTGTGTTCTTGTATGGATCCCTGTTATATCATAACTTTAAAACAAAAAAAAAGAAATTTTTGGACATGTTTTTATCTCCTGTGGATAATCTCTCCTTTCCTCTGCATCACAAAACTGTATTTTGGCAATCATTGAGCCTCCAGGTTAGCTGTTTATATGTATAAGCCACCTTTCTTTTTTGCACTTTGATTGCGCTTGGTAGATACTGCTTTGTACAAATAGAAGGTTTGTGGCAACCTTTGGTCCACCAAGTCTATTGCTACCATTTTCCAGCAGCAAGCATACAGGTAAGTAAGTGCTTACTTCATGTCTCTGTGTAACATTTCATTAAGGTACATGCATAGTTTTTTTAGACATAATGCTATTGCACACTTCACAGACTAGAATATAATGTAAACATAATTTTTATATGCACTGGAAAACCAAAAAATTCACATGCTCACTGGATGGTGGTGGTCCGGCATTAAACCTATAATATCTGAGGTATGGCCACAATCTTGAATATCAACTTTTCTCCCCACAAGTATAGCAGCCACCCAAATAGTGTCAGGCATAAATTCCATGAATATTCTTATCCTATCCTGAATTCAGCGCACTGTTAACAATCCAGATTTCAAGGCTAGGCTGAGAGCAAAGCATTCTCCTGAAAACAATTACTCATATGCAGATGCAGAAGCATTTAAGGGTGTACCATTCAGGCAGATGGCTGCTTTGGCTCTGATCTACAATGCTTATGCCAACTCACAGTCAGCATTCCATACCTGCCCAACCGGTGTAAGCAGTGCTATCCCGAGGGTCTGCAGACTTCAGGCCTCTTTCCATTTGCTGAAGAAGCTCTCGAATCTTATTGCTCAAGCGTTGTGAGAACTCAGGAGTCAGCTGTAAATATTAAAGGGAAAGCAAATATCAAAAAAATATGGGTCATGGAACCTCTTGGACTACAGTCTATCAAGACCAGGAGGTTGCTTCAATTCTACTTAGGTGACATGTTTCTGTCTGGGAGAACCGAACAATTATTTTTTTCTTAAACAGCGGCAATGCATTAACAAAATTTCCAAGTACTACATTTTCCTTATAGTAGGAAATATTTTTATTGTAAATTAAATTTTATTTTAATTTTTAATTAAATTAATTTTAATTAAACATAAGATAGGCTATCAATGATAAACTGGCTCACAGTAATTTCCAACTAACAGGGCTCATCTATTATTTAAGCTACTATTTTTATTTTACTAAAAGTCATTTATTAAATTAAGCACAAATTAGATGTTTATTGCTTTCAAGCCATGGAATTTTCAAGCCATGGAATTTTAGTATTCAAGTGGCAGCAATATTAATTCCATACAGAAAGTTTTTGTTATTTAACCAATGCATAAACATTCTTGACAAATTGTCTAAGTGGAAGAAAAGCAATGTAAATTTATGGACATAGGAGCCTCAAGCACAATGGAAAGAAAATCAGACTCAGTGTCAAAAATCTACACCTAGCACAGTGCCTGGAAGGATAGGGGCTTGATAAACACTGCGGGATATGAGCAGAAGCATTCTTATCTGCCACTAGCTGACTGATATGCTCATAAAGAACTGAAGTTATGCTTCAGTTATCTCTGTGAAGGCAAGATAATAATACCCAATCCACCAATTTCAAAAGGATCTTTCACATTCAAAGATGTGAAATTTTATTTATTTTGTTATTTTAAGCAGTCCAAGAGTCTGTAAGAATGGCAAGTTGGGATATGGATTAAAAGCACACTAAGGCTGGGGCTCTGGCGCTTCTGATATCCAGGTGAAGGTCTATAGATGCTGGGCAAGCTGTGAGGCCCATCATCAATATGTTATTCCTCCTAACAACTGAAAATGTTAAAGCTCTGTATGCACTGAATTTTGAAGTCTTAAATGGTCCCTTTAATGTATACCTCAATAATTTTAGGAATCAGCTGCAATTCCTACACTTGGATTTCACAAAGCAATAACATTTCAAAACAAAGTTGGAGAACATTACAAGGGACAATCAATGGTTTATAAAAACAAACCTAACCACTAGGTGTTAGTGGCATCATAATCTCAATTTTCAAAAAAGCGCATCTTAACACTTAAAAAAGAAGGGTGTATTGATATTAATAATAACAAAAGAGATTAAGTTTTATTTCTGAATAGCTTCTCTGATAAGGCAAACAAGACTATCAACCATATCTGGATTATGTATTCTGAAACATCACTAATAGCCCCTATTTCATATGAAGAAATCACGTTTGATGGACACACTCCCATTATTTAACAATTTCTGCCAAGAGGTTAAGATTTCAACAAGTCTTGAAAACACATTTAGTAAGATGAAATATACTTCAACATTAACATAAAAGTTCTATAAATTTCAACTAGATAGAAGCGTGCGTCTAGATGCGAGCACAGGTCATCTTCTGTTCATAGATCATGTATAATTTATCATCTTGCCTGGCCTTACTTTACGAGACCAAGAATAATGAAAATACCTCAGCCACAGGAAGGGAAGTTACTTTCTATTTGGCACACACTACGTTTAATAGAGGTGACCTGCCTGAGACTATTGATTACTTGTGGCAGACCAAAAAATTATTGAAACTCCAGCAGTAATTTGAAGAGTCTCTAACAGCCATTTTTTTTTCTGATAGATGCCAGAAAACAGACCAGTTCCTTATTGAGATCTTTAAGGAGGGCAGATCTCCAGGGTCTGATCCTTAGTGTTCAACATTAAACAATTTTAGGAAAGGTATGCTAGTTTCTTCTGGGACCTGTTCAAAACCACGTCCTAGGCAATAAATTATATTATTTTGGGACCGCAGTTTAAGTTTATGAATATCCTTTCCCCCCTCTTAGAATACGAGTGCAACATTTATTTTATGAAGAGCCAAAACAGTGAGCTACATTTTATTGAAGTCTTCTGTCATTAGGATATATTCTCAAGTCTTCTCTTTGCCAAGTTAGCATGAAGCAGCATGTCTTTCTCCCACAAGAAAAAACAAATACCTCAGTTACAGTATCTGCAGAGCTAGGCAGAACGCAGGTCCAAATGGCCAAAAGGAAGCCATTTGAATCCAGATTAATTTTGAGCAACTTTCTTTGTGCTGTTCAGTTTTGGTCTTAAAAAAACTAGATTCACTCTAACTCCACATACACATTGGTAGTCTTCTATCCTACAACTCTGCTCCACCTCTTTCATCATTTCTACCTATGTTACAGACCCAAGTTAGCATGTATTGACGATGCTTTATGGAAGGAGCCAACAGAATCACATAAAGTCAATTTGGCAGACGAGAAATCTCTAAAGCCATTACATCACATGTGAAATGTTTTTCATGTGATTGCGGCATTTAGAAGAAACAAATTGATACCAAAATTGTGTGTATGTACACTTAAAGTGATCACTCTTCCAAACTCATTTCTCAATGAGGTATTCTCAAAAAGAATTTTATTTCCTCTTAAAAATTATGTTCACCCAAAGAGGCATAAGAAAACACAGGCCTCTAGTATTTCACATCAGGTTCTCTTTTGCATACTAGCATGTAGGGCGCTAACCAGTTTAATTTCCTTTTCTTTTTTCCTTGGGAATGTCCTATTAAGGTCTATGGCCCAAATTTCTTGTAGCACTGTCAGTTTAAAGAAGTCTTCACCACGCATTCCAATTTGCTCTCACCATCACCCTGCCCATACTGTGTACAATCATAAAGCAACGGGGCACATGTGATATGCCGCACCTCTCTTTAAAAAGCCAATCAAAATTAATTCAAAATGCCAAGTTATATGGTAAACTGCCACCCATTTACCTAATTTAAATTATCAACGACAGGGGGCCTTCCTGGTGGTGCAAGGGGTTAAGCACAGGCACTATGAAGCAACCCGCAGCCTCTGCAGCACGAGTTCCATCCCCGGCCAGGGAGCTACCCACATGGCGCAGCAGACCTCTCCTATCTCACCCGCTGCAACCCTCAGCAGTGTATTTCAGTCAGTCTGCCTACTCTGCTCCTCACTCTGTCTCTGGTGAATCCTCTCATCCCCCATACCTTTAAAGGGCCTGTAGTACCCCAGCTCTTGTACGCATAAATAAATAAATCTTAAAAAAAATAAATTATCCACGACAGACAGTGATGACTGCAATCATTAACGAATATGAATAATAATAAAAATGTCTCTATATATAATAATATGAATAATAATAATATGAATGCTAAAAATGTCTATAGAAATGCAACCTGTGAGAGCCCACATGATGTATTTTATAGACCTAAAACATACAGCCTCTATTTATTCTCAAATGATACATATTCAAAAAGAATGATCATGCTTTTCTTTCAGGGAAAACGGAGCTGCTTCCAGAATGCTGGAGGTGGAGGCAGGGATGCAGGCAGGCAGGTAGGTCCCAAACTCACCCTCCCTTCCGAATCAAAGTAGCCTTCGGCCAGGGATTTGTTATAATCGGCATAAGGATTCGGAAAGGCCCTTTGAGCCATGACGCCGGAAGCAAGCCTGCAGAACAGGGGAGAAAGAGACCTTGGGGTGAGCCCGGGGCCCCGGCCCAGGTGCGAGGGCGGCGGCCCCGGCCCAGGCAACGCCTTCCTGCCGGCCCCGCGCGGCCCGAGGGGCCCAGGCGCCCACCGCAGCCCGGTCACCGGGGCCCGGCACCGCCACGGAAAGGGCGCCAGAGCCTGGAACCCACCGCGATGAAGGGGACCCGTTTTGCACCCCACGTTGCCACCGCCACGATTTGACGCAACGGCCGGTACAGCGTGCAGCAGCCTGGTCGGGCCGGGCCGCTCTCCGGAAGCCTCGGACAATAACAGACGCGACGCTTTCCCCGCCCACTTCCTGTCGGCCAACCAATCAGAGCCGTCGCAGCCCCGAGCCCCGCCCCTGCACGCTTTCATTTTGTTAAAGAGACAGGAGGGTGATTTCTGAGAGTGATTGGAGTCTTGATAGCTGGATGGGGGGGCTTATTGTAGAATAAGGTGCAAATGTGCCCAGTCGTTCCTAACTTTCTTATAAACTTTTCATTTTTAAGAAAAAGAATGAAAGTTCAGATAATTTATAAGAATCAGATTTATTTGTTTATTTATTTTGGTCTGGAGAGAAAAAGAAGACAGCTTGGGATCTGAAGGTATTTATTGATAGATTCCTACTGCATGGACTGAGTAAAACTGGGGAGGATAAAATCTCTCCAGAGACCTTGCAAAAGTTTTCTGTCACTTTTTAGAAACAGAAAGAATCAAAAAGACTAAACTTCCTTCCCATGAGCAATAGCAATGACACTTTTTAGAAACAGAAAGAAACAAAAAAACTAAATTTCCTTCCCATGAGCAACAGCAATGACAAAAATATTTGTCCTTTGGAGGTAATTTATGATAATTTAACTCGAAGTCACACAGTAGGGGATGCAACTGCCCAGGGGACTAGGTATCAAAGGGTAATTAATAAAACTTCAAGGGAAATATGTGAACATATGAATCACAGCTCTTAAGAAATTGAATCTGCTCTTGAGCCTAAATTGGAGTATAAATAATAACCAGAACAAAATAGCCACAATATTTAATTCCAATATTCAATGTTAAAACAGTCTCCATTACATGAACATTTTTCCTTTCACTTAAACTTAAATCCCTCCTGTTATACACTAGGCCCATTCTGTTGCTCAAAGGATTTTGGTGTTCTGTTAAAAAGTCAGAAAAAAGTCACTCTTTTGGCTCTTACTTTTCCTCTTGCTTGAGTGAAGGACTGTAGCCCCAAACCTCCATGCCTTTGAGTACCATCCCCAACTTCACATTGACCCAAGCTTGGCCCTCTGTGGCTGTCATCCCATACTCTACTGCTGCCTGCTTGTTCAGTTTGTACTTTTTAAGTGTTGCCCTCTTAGGACACTTGTTAACTGCTTTACCGAATTCATGAAGATTTACTGCAGGCCTTCAGTGATCTTGAATTGGATTCTCTTCCTTTTTTGACACATGGGTGTGTGGAGGAGTAACTCATAAGAAAAGAAAAAGGAATGACCAACAATTTATCATTTTTTTTAACTGCTAATGACTTACCCGTTTATCCCATTCACACACTCTGTATGAGTAATCAAAATCAGTGTGATATTTAAGTAGATTAATGGCGAATAGAAAGAGGCATCATAAGAGAGTAGATTGTACTTGAGAAGAAATAAAAGTGAAAGAGCAAGATGGAAAGAGCATAAGAAAGTAGGAAAAGAGAAAAGAAAGGAGCTTGAAGGGCATTCTCCCAAAGACCAAAGAATTAAGTTGGTAATGTAATGAGATAGTGTAGGTATTCTCAGTTTCAGTGCTATGGACATTTTATTTAGAAGGAATGCTTCTCTGGGGAGATTGTGTTGTTTATTGTAGTACGTTTAGCAGCATACCTGGACCCTGCCTACTATATGCCAGTAGCACCCTACCCCAGCACTGACAACCAAAAATGCCTCCACTTTTCCCAAATGTTGTTTGGGGAAGGGTTAGAGAGTGGGGAAGTTGCCCTTGTTGCAAACTACTTTGGTAGTGTAATCAAAAATGTTTAATAAGATTAAACTTTTACTCTGTTCTCATTACAGATGTGGCTTAATTAGAATACTGTGCTGAAAGGAATTCAAAAAGAAGTTGCAGAGGTAGGATCTGTTTGTGTGTGTGCTTGGACCTTTAATCTCAGGAACGAAAACAAGCTAATTTTACCCTTTAGTTTTTAGTAGAGCATCCTCAGGACATGCAAAACCCTATTCTATTTAATTTTTTTCCACTTAATTCTGATTTCCTACTCATTCTTCTCTTCTACAAGGCAATCACCACAATATGTTTAATTTATATATCCTTTGGAAAATATGCCCTGGTTTGTAAAGCTATGTATTTTTAATAAGTGAAATAGTGCTATAAATACTCAGCAATTGGTGGTTTAGATGCATTCGTACTATGCAAGGTTGGTTATTTTAGATAATCATGTTTTATTTTCATAGTAAAATCTCCACCTCATTTTACCTATCCTTTCCCCTAAGAATGGACATCATTTCTAAACTCTATATTACAAATAATACAGCCAAGAACATCAAAGTACATGTTCTTTTTTTTTCTCTCAAAGATTTATTTATTTATACATACAAAAACTAAGGAACAGGCCAGACGTGCAGGGGGTGAGAAGATTCACCAGAGACAGAGCAGGGAGCAGAACAGGCAGATCTACTGAAATACACTGTGGAGGAGAGCAGCGGGTGAGACAGGAGAGGTCTGCTGCTCCATGTGGGTAGCTCCCTGGCCAGCCAGGTTTCGAACTCATGCAGCAGTGGCTGCAGATAGCTTCATAGTTTGTTTTAACCCCTTGCGCAACCAGGGAGGCCTATATATGTTTTTGAATACATCTAAATGTGAGTGTTCCTGAGATCTGTGTCCAAAAGATCACAGGATTAATACTTAACTTCTAATACTTAACTTCCCCACTACAGCTAGATTGCTTCTAGAACTTTTATACTACTTTATGTTCCCTCCAAAGGAACTGATAATTTCTGTCACTCATGTATTCACTCTAACAATTGATATCTAGTGTTCTAGGTTTTGCAGTGATAATGGACAACATGGAATCTCATTGATTTTTAAACTTTTCAGTACTTTGGTTGCTAATGGTGTTGAGTTTTTCTTCAGACACTTGTTAGACAACTGAGGTTGACTTGAGAAATTCACCTGCTCATATTCTCTGCTCATTCTTCTACCAGGAATTACATGCTTTTCTCATTGATTTGCAGGAGTTGTTTTTGTTTCATTGGGAAGAGGGAGGCTATTCTAAATATTAATCTTCTTTGATCTTAGATGTTGCAGATATATTCTCTAGTCTGTTAACTTTTCCTAGGGTATCATTCATTAAACCACAAGTCTTCATTTTGATGAAGTTAAATCCATCCAATTTTGACATTGTTATTTGATGATTTTGCTTCATGATCTTTATGTATTCATAGGCAAAGAAGATGACCTCCTACATTTTATTTTTACTTTTTACATTTAAGCCTTTTATTTATCTGGAGCTCACGTTGGAATACAGACTAACGCATGCATTCAGGCTTATTTGGGAGAGGGTGCAGAGTGGTTTTGAAATTTCAGATATAGTAAAGCATAACTCTTGGTTAGTAAAATCCAAGGATTTGAATTATTGGAATTCACATGAAACTCATTTCTTTTATTTGTTTTGTTCTGTTAGAGAACAAACCCCATGAATTCTTCCTTGGTTATGCTCAAAAGAAAAGTACTTGACATTTAATACCTTTCTTCTAGAGCTGCCTTAAGAAAATACTATAGAATGGGTTGTTTAAACAACAGAGATTTATTATCTCACAGTTCTGGAGGCTGGCAGTCCAAGATCTCGATGTTAGCAGGGATAGCCTCTCCTGAAGCCTTTCTCCTTAGCTTGTGTTTGCTGTCTTCTCCCTGACACCCCCTGTCACCCCATGATCTTCTCCCTGGATGGAATTTGTGTCTTAGTCTCCTCTTACTATAAAAGACTAGTTATATTGGATTAGGGCTCACCATTAAGGTCTTATTTCACTTTAATTTAGTCCTTAAAGAAACTTATATCTACAAATATAGCCAAATGTTGAAGCACTGGGAGTTAGGATTTTAAAAATGTAAATTTGGGGAAGATGGATAAAATTCAACCTTTACCAGGATCTGTGTTTTTACCTAGGGCTACAGTGGCAGAACACATTTGCGATTAATACAGATATGTTTGATGATTTTTCAAGGACCATTCCACTTTTAATATATTTAAAATATTCTTGTGAAAAATATTACAATGTTCCTCACTTAATTTGTTAATCTGCCTTGTGTGAACTCTGGGGAAGTAATTATTGTGTTGTTGCCTTTAATAAAGAATACCTCTAGAAACCTGGAAAGGTTTATTTATATTGACTAGAGAAAACAGGTAGCATCTGAGGGCTCTTTGGTTCCACTTTTTTTTTAAATATTTATTTATTTATGCATACAAGAACTGGGGTACAGGCCAAAGGTGTGGGGGGCGGTGAGAGAGGATTCACCAGAGACAGAATGGGGAACAGAATAGGCAGACTGACTGAAATACACTGCTGAGGGGAGCAGTGGGCAAGTCAGGAGAGGTCTGCTGTGCCATGTGGGTAGCTCCCTGGCCGGGGATCAAACTTGTACTGCAGTGGCTGTGGATTGCTTCATAGGTTGTGTCTTAACCCCTTGCGCCACCAGGGAGGCCCCTTTGGTTCCATTCTAAGGCCTATAGTAATGTGTATTAGTGTGAAAACCAAGTGACAGCTACAAAGAGGCTCAAAAACAATTGCTAAAATAAATAGACATTTATTTTTTCTCTGCCTTGAGGGTAACTTTGATCCATGTGGCCATTCAGAATCACAGATTGTTTTCATCTTTCTTGTTCCGACCACTGAGTATTATCCTCATCAGCTACTCCATGCTGGTCATAGGGATGTCTGTATTCCAGTTTGTGGAAGGACAGGAAAACACAGAGGAATGTGTATCTGATGCCTTCAGTCCTAGACCAGCAGTGAAATTCATTACTTCCTATGTTATTCAACCAGTGAGAACTCAATCCTTTGCCTGGGAGACTGAAATGAAGTCATCTGCTAAGCTGTTATATGTCCAGCTTTAACAAAAAGGGAGGAATATCTTTTGGAGGTTAGTTAAGGTCTCCAATGTAGAATGGAAGTTCTGGTAACTGATACTGTATGTCTTCTAGCAAAGA